GGGGGTTGGAGGGGGGGTTGGAGGGGGGGTTGGAGGGGGGTTGGAGGGAACAATGCTTTCACCAGAGGGTGGTGTACATCTGGAACAGTGCCTGAAAGGCTGGTCGAGGCAGAAACCCTCCAGACAGACATTCCAGAACTGTTTCGATGAGCACTTGAAGCATCACAGCATACAAGGCTACGGGCCAAGTGCTGGGAAATGGGATCAGAATATATGGATGTTTGACGACCAGCGTGAGCACGATGGGCTGAAGGGCCTCTCCTCTGTGCTGTAACAACTCGACGACTCTCTACGGCAGCTGTCGTGGAGAGCAGCTACGGATTCCGGATCGAGTAATTGAATTTTAGCTCCATTCCCAGTTGCTGTAGCCGGATCTGAATTCACTGCCTGTTGGCCGAAGGAGTTTAAGCCCAGTGATGTTCCCAGTAAAGCCGCTCCTGCCTCCTCAAGTGCAGGTCTTTGTAACGATGGCCACATTCAAAGAAGTGACTTACCAAATAAAACAAACCAGGTCAGATATGTGGGGATGCAGCTGATACACAGTCACAGCAACCTCTCTTAGCATTCGCTCGTGGGATATGGGCATAGCTGTCTGGGCCCAGCATTTATTGTCCCCGTCCCTAGTTGCCCCACCTTGAGAAGGTGGTGGTGAGCTGCCTTCTTGAACCGCTGCAGTCCTTAAGCGTAGGGAACACACTCAGTTCCGTTAGGGAGGGAGTTCCAGGATTTTGACCCAGCAACAGCAAAGGAACAGCGACATATTTCCAAGTCAGGACTGTGAGTGGCTCGGAGGGGAACTTGCAGGGGGGTGGGGGGTGGTGTTCCCATGTATCTGCTGCCCCTTGTCCATCAAGCTGGAAGTGGTCGTGGGTTTGGAAGGTGCTATCTTGGTGAATTTCTGCAGTGCACCTGGTAGATGGTACACACCGCTGCTACTGAGTGGAGGGAGTGGGATGTTTGTGGATGTGGTGCCAGTCAAGCGCGGGCTGCTTCGTCCTGGACGGTGTCGAGCTTCTTGAGTGTTGTTGGGGCTGCCCCCATCCGGGGTCAAGTGGGGAGTATTCCATCCCGCTCCTGGCTTGTTGGAAGTCAGGAGGTGAGCTACACGCTGCAGAATTCCCAGCCTCTGGTCTGCTCCGACCAAACTCCAGGAATGTGTCCCCCAAGGCGACTGATCTCCAACTCACATTGAAAACCTGCCACGGCGCTCTCGAGACAGGGAGAAATAAGTCACAGCCGATCTGAGAAACACACATGAAACACGAGCAAGGGGACGCCTGACGATGCCTTTCCAGTTGAATAGCCTGACAACAACTCAACGTCTGGGCACCGCCGTGGGGAACAGACCACTGGCAGACAGACAGAGCTATCCACGGTTTGGGAGTTAGGTGGGAGTGAGGGATATGTGGAGAAGGTGGGATGGAGAGCGAGCAATTTGTGGAGGAATCCTGCCGTAGGGGGAGTTTGAATTCAATAATTTTAAAAAAAAATCTGGAATCAAGAGTCTGGTATCGACTACAAATCCATTGTCAATTGTTGGGAAAAACCCATCCGATTCACTAATGTCCTTTAGGGAAGGAAACAGCCATCCTTACCTGGTCTGGGCCTACACGTGACTCCAGCCCCACAGCAATGTGGTTTACTCTGAACTGCCCTCTGGGGCAATTAGGGACGGGGCAATAAATGCTGCCTGGCCAGCGATAGCCTCACCCTGTGACTGAATTTTAAAAAAAAAAGATGTGGAGAAGGTGGGAGCGAGGGATTTGGGAATGGGACGGTGAGGGTGGGTGGTATTTGATGGACATGGGGAGAAGGCAGGTGTGTGATGACTGGCAATAATCTATTCCAAAGGGCTGCAAGGTTTTGCCTCTGTACGCGTCCCCGTGTCTGCACTCGTCCCCATCTGTACGCGCCCCCGTGTCTGCACGCCTCCCCGTCTGTACGCGTCCCCGTGTCTGTACGCAGCCTCGTGTCTGCACGCCTCCCCGTGTCTGCACGCCTCCCCGTGTCTGTGTACGGGCGGCAGTCTATCTGCGTGTGTGCATGTGCGTTCATGTACTCTGTACTGTACCTGTGTACTTGGCAATGTTCTCCAGCAGCAGTGGGTACTTTGTCAAGCGTTGCATTTCAATGGGAATAATATCCTTGAGCTGCAGACGTCGGCACTGAGGATTGCTCTCTGCATCCTGTTTGGGGGAGCGAGAGATACAGAGAGAGGGTGAGGGAGAGGATGAGAGAGGGTGGGAGGGATACAGTGGGGGTGGGGAAGTTATTTGAGAGCGCGAGAGAACGCACAATGGCACAGGGGGATAGACAGGGGGAGCGACAGAGAGGGAGAGCGAGAGAGAAAGAAAGAAAGAGAGAGGGCGAGAGAGAAAGAGAGAAAGAGAAAGTGGGGGAGAGCGAGAGAGACAAGGGGAAAGCAAGAGAGAGAGAGAGAGAGAGACACGGGGAGAGCAAAAGAGAGAGAGAAAGAGAAAGGTGGGGGGAGAGCGAGAGACGGGGAGAGCGAGAGACAGGGGGAGAGTGAGAGATGGGGGGATAGCGAGAGAGAGAGACAGGGGAAGGGCGAGAGAGAGAGACGGGGGAGGGCAAGAGAGAGAGACGGGGGGGGGGGGG